CTCTGAACTGCTTCTTTTGCCCGGACGACCGACATAACCCTTCCTGCATGCGCTTTCTCTTCCACCTTTTGCGCGCCGTGCGGCCGCCTGCTCATGGGAAAACTTGGTCCGGGGATGTCCGAAGAAGTTGAAACGAGTGCCTTGCTGCTTCGCAGCTGTCGGCACTTACTCTGTGTGTATGTGTGTGTATATATATATATACATATATATATATATATATCTATATACAAAGTCCAAAGCAGGCGACAGGCGTCACACGCATGTAAGGGGGCTTGTCGCCCAGATTCCCATGGAATGCCTAGGAGGGCGGCTTTTGCTTGATCTTGATTATCAAGATGGCGGGCCCGCAGTCTGGAAAATGCGAGGAAAACCTGGCATGCGGTGCCCTCCTTTGAGGAGCACGCATGAGCACGCTACAGAACTATAAGCTAACCAAAGGAGCGCCTCTCGAAGGGAGCCAGCGTCAACATCATCTTGGACGTACCTTATGCCTTGCGTCTTTCAGCTGTGGTCCCCCCCGTTCACATTGACAATCTCTCCATTTGAGAGCATCTACACTAAACAGTGCCGTGATCCGTTTCAGCACGGCCTTGACTCAGGACAACAAGCCTCGCCACCAGACTTCCACATGCCATGACACTCCAGACCTCTGAAACGGCTTCTGTTGATGGCACGAGGGACGTTTTTCTGATGTCCGTGGTGCTCATCATGCCCTTTGTGTTCTGCCAGCTGCTTGTGTGATAGTCTCACGGACCATCAGCAGGATTCAATGCAAGCATGCGTTGCCCTCAGGGCACGCAGCCGCCATATCTATCGAGAACCTTTTGAGGCAACATGCCAGATTTTGTCGGGACTCACGTGGCAGGCCTACGGCAGCTCATCCACCATCTGCTGAGCAATTCTGCGAGCGCCCGGCTTGCGATTGAAGTCATACCTAAGCTGAGAGTGCTGAGAGTGCTGAGAGCGCTGCCAAGCAACACCAGCAGCCAGAGCCCAGATATATTGTGTTTAACGACTCGGAGTTGCAGGCGAACCAAGACTGGCCGTCCCTCGAGCGCATTCTTCCAGTGCTCAGTGGTGTTGATCAGGAGGTTTCCTGCTGGCAGTGAATGGCAAGCAATCATCCAAGCAAAATGGCAGCTCTCCGCCCCGTCCTTTCCCTTGCGATGCATCCACTGTGGCGATGGGCAAGTTTTGCTGGGTCACACGCACGTCGAGGTCTGGATTCTCAAAGTCGAAATCCAAGCCTCATGTCTGTGAAGCTTGTGAATTGTGCCGAGAAGCCACCGCGGCTAAAAGTGTTGAACTTTTACCGTGAGCTGGTTTCTGTATTTTCTGTGGAACTCCTGTCAGCCATGCACAACCGCATGAATTGCTGAGCCACTGCTAGCCTGCTGACGCAGGTTTGGGTATAATGGGCGCAGACGAACTTTGCAGACTGCATCAGTGTGCATCAGGGCGCAGCTGTTGGCGTCACTCGTCCTCAAAATCTTTGCGGGTTTTTTCCACCCCATTTCGGGCCGCAAGTCGTGGCTAGCGGTTCGTGGTCGTGCGCCGTGCCATATCGTGCCATCATGCCCGTCAATTCCACTGTCCCTCTCACTTTTCTGTTGCTGCTTTCGATGGCACTTGATGCTTTTTTTGTACACATGTCGTAAAAAAATAGCATCCAGTTGTAACAGTCAGATGGTGTGGCATCTCTGCACAAGGATGTGCCGCGATCTGGCTGCAACAGCTTCCAGTGGCGATGATATGATACCAGCATCGGACGGGTTTCTCTTCGCAGAGAGGTTGGAGGCGAAGTCAAGCAAAAGCCACTGTCTAAGGCGTGAGCTCTGTTCATACTCACCCCTGCTTCTGAGCCACTGATCTTCGACTGAGGGCCCAGCCCAGGCAGCCCTGACCTTTGGGAACACGTACCTTGCGCATACATGCCACAGGCGCAAAGACAAAGATGAAGTCCCCATCTGCCTGTCCAGAAGTTGCGACATCCTATACATCACTTGACATAACTACAATCACTACATCTCACATCTGGGGAGCCACACATGATGCCACACGCTAGTCAAGCTTAGTCCCATCCAGCTGCATCAAAGTGACGCAAGCGTGGCAGCTGCAGCTGAAGTCTATACTTCTCCCGAACGCACGTAGGTACCGACAACGAAGCTCCACAAAGAACTCCAGAAACCGCTGCGTGTCCGGCTGCCTGGACATTGCCCTCTTATCTCCCCCTAATTATGCTCCAGTACATCCAGGGAATCCACCCAACAGGTGTGCTAACTGCAGCTCGGCGCCTGCTGCGGCCGCTGACAAAAAAGGCGTCCTCGCTCTGGCCAACCTCTGCCGCTCCGCCAGCTTCTTCTTCGAGCATGTGCTACCACTTGACATCACTTTACCAGCTTGTGCTGTGGCAAAACAACACCTTGCCTGGATGATGTCCACAAATGCATCCATCTGTGCGCACCACCGTGGGGAGGACTTCTCCATCACCAGCGGAAAATCCTCCGCCGAGGCCTTCCAACGATTCTTGTTGCCCTGTTTGCTGCGATGTCTAGAGCCAGAGACGTACTGCTTTCACCTCCCATGCGCAGAGCACCCCCCCCCCCACCTTTGACACCTGCGTGTGCTGCGTCTTGCCGATCGACGATGCAACCACTGGATTTTGTCCTGTGTCGTGCATAGCCTCACCTGGCGAAGTTTTGGCATGGATCCCCTGCCGTTACACTGCTGTGGCACTCCGAACCCCCCGGCCTGGCAGGGCATCTTGCATGCCTCCGTCTGGGCACAATGCCACGCAATCCCGGATGATCTTCTCCTGAAAAGAAAAGTGACAAGATGCGAATGTTGCCATATGTTGCCTGAGAAACTTGGACAGAACTCGCCCAGCCGTTCGTTGGCACTGAGCGGGGACGTCGCTGCAACCACATGCCGTGCAGATGACGCACACAAGCATTAAGACAATCTGTGCTCTGTTAAGCTCGGGAAACCACAAATATTAAAAAACAGAAAAATCAAAAAAATGAAATCACTTCCGCGGAAATTCAAGCCAAACTTAAAAAAGAAACGGAAAACTCCAGAAAAATGTCTAAATAAAACTCAGAAAGATTCAGAAACAAATCAAAAGCAGGCAAGACCCACAGAAAAGCACCAAGAAATACAGCCAAGCACCTCAGAGGCCAGAGATTGATATTCCTCAAATTATTTGAATCTGGCCCGGGGCCGAATCTGAAAAAGATCTGAAGGAAAAAACTGCATATCTATTACTTGCGCAACACCCAGACTTGTCAGGGACAGAATGTCTTGACGCCAGCAACAGCACCAGCAAGTCTTTCACATGCTTGGTTGGCAAGGAGAGCTGACAAAGCTGCGCGAAAAGCGATCAATGCAAGCAGCAGCTGAGTGGAGCACGATGTCCGTCACGTAGTGGTTTGGAAGCTTTGCATCCTCATCGACGCCTTGGAATGCTTGTTAGCTTTGCGGGGACAGAGTTTCTTACCGATCTGGCTCATGCCGTATTTTAAAGTTCTTATCTTTTCCTTGCTGAGCCAATCGAGTCAAGGCAGCATGGCTGCACACCCTACACTTGCAGGAGGGTGTCACTGTCGTCCTGTGACCCATGTAGCTTCTCTCGAACAAAACTTTTCAGACAGAGCGAAAACTCATCCGGAAACAACCGGCTGGAGCCGAACGTACAGATTTGCACATCAAGAGACAGACAGAGAGAGAGAGAGAGAGAGAGAGAGACAGAGACTCAGAGAGACACAGAGAGAATGAATACACACCACGACCAGCAACACAAAGCTTCTTAAGGGAGTCATGCGACACAGAAGTGGGCCCAGCTCGTACATCAGGGATCCTGGGGGCCAGCGCTGTCCGTCAATCCAACCTGCGCGCTGACCCTAAGCGAGCTTTCAAGTTTGCACAGTGCACAAGACTTTTGTTTTAGTCTGCCTCCACCACTCTGCCCCAAGGCATGCGATTCACCATAAGCAAAAACATTCTTGCGGAAGCGCGTCAACTCCTCAGCACCTGGCATGTGGCAGAAGGAAAGGCTCCAAGAAGGACACCCAAAGCAACCACATGCAACCCGGATTCACGTCTGCTGTATTGTCGTTTTGATTGTGGTGTGGTTGGCACCTGGCGCTCGCAGAGCCTCGAACTCCTCTGCCCCATCCGGCAAGTAAAGCAGCGGCACCCGGCGCGTCCAAGAGATCTGACGCGAACGAGAAGAAGAGAGGTGTTTTGCAAAGTGTTGAAACACCAATCCTCTAAATGTAAAAACCGCGCGCCAAGTCACGACGATATACCGGTGCTGGCAAAAACGTTCCACCACAGACCGCCACACCAATCGAACCTTTCGGCTTGCCATCGATCGGAGTAGCATGGCTTTGTGCTCCACGTGGTTGGCCTTGCAAAGCACTGGATCGGGCAAATCGGGGCGGCCAATGGCGGCCATGTGTTGTCATCCAAACAATGTCTCATTACGTCTCGCTATGCTAATCTATGCTATGATGAGAGTCGCAGCACTTAGCTGACATGCAAGGAAGCAGCCTTGAAGGGCCGTCCTTGTAGCTGCCAAGAAGCACCAGCACAGCTCAAGCACAGCTCACACAATGACACAAATGAAAGGAATCAGCAAGCTATCAGTGCTGCACTGAGGAAGATGACATGCCCCAAGGCTGTCGAGCACAAATGCTCACCATGTGAGACGCTGTGCTCAGAGCAAACAGGGTCCTGGATGTTTGGACACATGCTGGACGAAATCATCTAGCTCTCCATCTTGGTCTGCCTCCACCTTCGACAAGCTTTCCTGAGGGTACAATTCCAAGCAAGCTAAAGATATTCTTCAGTCTGTTCATCAAGCAGCACTGCGCCATTGATACCATGAACAACTGCGTTCGACAAGCATCAGCAATAAACTTCTCGGCAGCATAGCGGGTTTCCGGCGGCACCTGCAGTTTCGAGAGATGACTTGAACGTTCCACATCTCGCTCCGAACT